CTAGCAGGGCAGAAATTGGACGAACTGACTTGTTGGAAAGGTGGCATCATATGACGGTGCCACGTTGAAAGTCACTGAGTTCTTCAGTTAGGCCATTCTACTGCCAATGTTTGTCTATGGAGATTGCATGGCTGTGTGCTCGATTTTCTACACCTGTCAGCAACGCGTGTGGCTGAAATGGCCGAATCCACTAATTTGAAGGGGTGTTCACATACTTTTGTATATATAGTGTATCTACACAGTTAACTTTGAGACACGTATTTGGGCTCGTTCCAGACAGTCATGCAAAATCTGTGCATATCTGCAGAGGTTTATCAGATCTTTACAATGCCTGGCAAAAGTCTATATATAATATATAACAAAACTAAGATACTGTAATCTGCACAGGACCTTGTTAACCCAGTTCACCCTTTAAGATACACTGAGTGTACAAAACATTAAGAACACCTTCCTAATATTGAGTTGCACCCCCTTTTGCCCTCAGAACAGCCTCAATTCGTTGAGGCATGGACTCTACAAGGTGTCGAAAGCGTTCCACAGGGATGCTGGCCCATGTGGACTCCAATGCTTCCCACAGTTGTGTCAAATTGGGAAACGGTTGAGCGTGAAATACCAGTAGCGTTGCAGTTCTTGACACAAACCGGTACACCTGGCACCTACTACCATAGCCCATTCAAAGGCACTTAAATATTTTGTCTTGCCCATTCACCCTCTGAATGGCACACATACCCAATCCATGTCTCAAGGCTTAAAAATCCTTCTTTAACCCGTCTCCGCCCCTTCATCCACACTGATTTAAGTGGATTTAACAGGTGACATCAATAAGGGATCATAGCTTTCACCTGGTCAGTCTATGTCAAGGAAATGTTTTGTACACTCAGTGTATGGCTGACTGACAGGAACCCAACCGATAAGAAGTGTCTGACTTCCTCAAAATGAATGCAGAACGGATTAAAAACAACGATCGATCGATCGATAGATAGATAGATAACAAAATCAACAAGTTCAGGTTTGACAATCTTGGTGTTTTATTGTAAGTATTGCATTTTCAAACTTACACAGCGAGAATCATCATCATCATCAGAGAGCATGTTCTACAAAGGATTGATGGCCACAGAGTTCATCTGAACAACAAGGGGACTATAGTCTCTCCTATAGCCTGGTTAAACCAGACTGAATGCTGGTTGAACCCAGGCTAGGTCTGTCTTGTTTGGAGGTGGAAATAGCTGTATCTACTTTGACCCATTCTGCTTTAGCCTGGTTCCCAGATCTGTTTGTGCTGTCTTGACCAGAATGACCATAGGAGTTGGAAAGACAGCACAAACAGATATGGGACCCAGGCTATTCATTCTCCCTTCGAGTCGGTGTCTATAAGACCAATACCTAGTACACTGGAGTGACATTACTCAGGGTGGACGTCAATTCCATCTAAATTCCATCCGCGAAATGGAGTGTGTATTCAGTTTGGATACCAGGTAAGAAATTCCCATCTTGAACTCAACAGATAGGAATTGAGTTAGAATTGACCCCAACTCTGGATATAACAACATCCTGCTAGCCATACACAGCCAAAAGCAGGTATCTCTTATATGGCCGCCCTAAGGACACCAGACAACACACACAAAAGAGAGAGAGGGTATTGGGGAAAAACACTGTTTTTCATTAAATATGGGCCCTTTTTTTCTCATAGTGCAAGTAAAAAAAAATACAAACTAAAAGCGATAGACGATAAAGGTGTAAATGAATGTGGGAAGAGTGAAGTAATCTGCCCCCCTGTGAAAGAAGAGGACACTGTTGGTGTTCTGAGGTTGTTTGGCTTATTTGTTTATATCGAGAAAGCACCATCGTCCAATGATACCATCAAGTCTCTCGAGAGATGAGATCATGAAATCCTGCAAGATTACACTAACTTTACACCTTAAATGATGTCCTTCATTGAAACCATAGGCTTTTGTTCTCAATAATATTAATCTGAGGCTTTTTGTAAATGTAAGACACATTTTGTTGACTAAAACATAGTCTAGTAAAGACTACTACTTGTCCTCCTACTAAAGGAGTGTGGAGTTAGTTAGCCCCCATTTTGTATAGTAGCTGGCTCAGTATTTGCCAATTAGACTTGGCTATTGTAGGCTGAGTCCAAAATCAACCCCTTGAACCTACACCCCATCCCCTCCTAGGGGTAATTCTAGGATAATTGGATAGGTGTAAACTGTTATGACAAAAACTCCACCCAGCCTATCAGAAAAGGAGAAGAAATGACCATACAGCTTGGGGTCAGTTTGGAACTCGACCGTGGATGCATAAGAGGCAAGGCTCAGTACTGGGAGCAGCTTGGGGGCTGATTACATTTCAAGTGTCCGGCTAATAAAACAAAAACAGAAAATAATGGAAAAACATTAGCCTGGTATCCCGACTGATTTCACTACGATTCACCAATGTCTTTGTCCCAAATGGCACCCTATTCCCTGCTTAGTGCTCTAGTTTTGACAGAGTCTAGTCAAAAGTAGTGCACTATGTAGGGAACAGGGTGCCATTTGGGAGAGACACTTGTTTCACTTAAAAACATAAAAAAGGAGGAGGAGAATAATAAGATAAGACAGAAACAAAATAAGTTAACTTTTTTTTTTTTTGTGTGTTGGTTCTGTGAGGGATGGAGAAATAAGCTAATAAATATATAAACTTTAAAAAACTCAAGGGTCAGGGGGGGATTGTTCTTTCATATGAAGAGATACGTGAATACCAGTGGAAAACAAGACTTTTCAAAGTGCAAGTTGGGTTCGCCTCAGTAACAAGGGCTAAGGATGTACACACAGTCAATGACATCATCATAAACCTTGGTGTTGTCACTTCAGACTCGAGTTCTACCACAGCTCACGAGATACCACCAGTGGAATGCCATATAGGTTTTTTCAAAATAAAAGTAAAAAACTAACACATTTGAAAAAATAAGAGTGCCACCCAAACTCTTTATTTATGAACAGAAGAAGTCCTGGGGTGGCGGCCATTTTTTATTACAGCCATATAGTTGTTGTTCTCTTGTTGTTGTGTCTTGAACTTTAAGTTAAGTATTGTGAAGTGTAACCTCTCCTCTTGGGGGAGAGGGGGACAGCTACAGAATGGTAACTTTTGAACGTTTCAACCAGCAAAATGAACAAAGCAATACTGTCCAATCCTTGCCACGTCGACGACTGACTGACTGCTTGCCAGTCACACTCTGAGAGAATAAGTAGAATAAATCTTTTCAAAAATATAATTTAAAATGCACAAAAACACAAGGTCAAAAACAGCAACAGAGGCAATAGTTTTTTTCTATCCACAAGTTTTCTACTTTTTTTTTTTACACTCCTTTTATCATTGTTCATTTATTAAGCTATTTGTAAGCTATCTAATTATGTACAAAAAACAAAGCAAGTTGAATTAGCTTTTTTGGACGGCCACAGGTCTGTTGCCTTGGAAAAGAGTGGGGAAAAAACAGGAGGAGCTCAAATGGTCGAAAAAAATATCAGAAAACTACTAGAAATAGTTATTGCTTGTTACTGCTGGATAGAGAGAAAGGATGATGTTGTCTCTATAGTCCAAAGTTCCTTAGCATTCTTTCTTTTTAAATTGTGCCGATTTGTTTCTATAGACAGCTATAGGGTAGGCAAGTGCAGGATAGCTTGTTGTGGTAGCTGCTTTGTTGTAAAAACACATTTTAAGATTTATTTCCACATCGAGCACCACCCACGTTCCATGGGAATGTATATAATGCATGTATTTTTTCTTTCTCCATTCGTTTGGATGGAAACGTCCTGTATGACATGGCAGACAAGGATTGTTGGTTGTACAAGCGTTTGATCTGCGTTGTTGATGGGTTTGTTGTTGTTGTTGTTGTTGTTTCACGTAGCACCATTTCAAGTGTCTGTTGGATGCTGTGGTGTGGTTGCGCAGTGGTAAAAAAAAACACAAAGACAAGGAATTTAAAATAAAAAGGACGTCGTTCAAGGGCCAAAATGTGTTGATATGGCATGTAGACTTCTTGACATTCCACAGTCTGTGTCCAAATTACAACTTGTTCCCAAATTTGTTTTTAATTCTAGCAGAACATTCACTTGACTTCGCACACAAGACCAGAGCAAACACGCAAACACATAGAACCAAACAGGGTTTTAAAACTCATAAAACTCATCATAAAACATTCTAATATATATTAGAAATTTAAGTGCATTTCTGATGCTAAAATATGGGGTTGTTTTTTTGTTCTAAAATAACTTAATCAATTGTTTGATTTAAAAAAAGAGATCTATTCCCTTCGATTATGTCTGCAATAAAATCAAGATAATGCTGATCCCAGCTTATTCGTGAAAATAAATCATTTTTCATCTTCATTTTCAACCATTCATAAAGCCACTCAAGTAAAAATCTAATTTAAAACCATTGCTCTTATTCAGATCATCAAAATAAAGGTTGGTTGGTTCTGTGTTTGGATCCATCTCTGTTCTTCATGTACCTGTTAATCAGGACGAGGCGGGGGGTTGGACCTTCTGCTTGGGACGGAGGGTGGGTTGAGGGGTTCCAAGGGGGGTTCATCTCGGACTGTGGGTTGTTGGTTCAGCAGCGAGTTGGAGCAAAGCGACGGATGGTGCGAAGGGGAGGGGTTACAGACAGGAAGTAGTTGCCTGAAAAGGCAGGAAGTTAGAAGGACGTCAGGGCGCCACTTGAGGGATGCCATGGCGATGGCGTAGTCGGCGATGATACATGTAGATGGGTTACATGACGATACACAACAGGTGGATGGAGTTTGAAGGCCAAGGTTTTTGCAGGTTGGAGCCGGGGGTGGAGACAACTCTAATTGGCCGGTCGGAGAAGGCGGCGAGTTTGACGAGGACACTGGAGTAACGTTCGCTCTCGTAACCTTCGCCACTGGCAAGGTTCAGGTGGTTGGACTTTGGATGTTGGTGGAGCCCCCGAGGTTGCAGATTGGAGCCGGGGGGGAGGAGTCTACACCCAACAGCCATCTCCTATGAGGAGGATCCTGAGAAGGCTGAGGAGAGTTTGAGGATGCTGCAGCTGGAGTAGCCCTCGTCGCTGGCTAGACTCTGGAGGCTGCTGTGGTCGTCTAGATCGCTGGTGGAGGCCGTAGAAACCGAGTCCAGCTCCCCGTGCTCCGAGAACTCTGTAGACTCCACGTCCACCTCAATCTCCTCTGTCGAGGGGGAGCGAGGTGAGAAAGCGAGAGAGAGAGAGAGAGAGAGAGAGAGAGAGAGAGAGAGAGAGAGAGAGAGAGAGAGAGAGAGAGAGAGAGAGAGAGAGAGAGAGAGAGAAGAGCAGAACGTTAGAATAATACACTCTAAACAAGAGCTTCTTGGAACTTAACAGGAACACTACTAAACTGAGAAGTTTGGTGGATTTCTGTGCAGAAACAAATCATTCTAGTTATCCTAAGAATAGGGAACTAGTGTGCAAAGTCCAAATGTCTCTTTAACTGCTGTGCTTATGTGTGTGATACATTGAAATAAAAACTCAAATCTGACAAAGATCCTTATTGGCGTTCACGGTCGCTCACCTTGGTCAGAGTCGGAGCGCTCGGAGGAGCAGATGGTGGAGCCCACGCTGTCCATGCGTATCCTCTCTCCCTCCCCCGGCCCAGTGCCTCCTACCCCGGCCCCAGTGCCCCCCTGCAGCAGGTCCAACTGGCGCTGGAGGTGCCTCTGCTCCCTCTCCAGACTGTCCAGCTGGTTACGGCTCTTACGTTCCGCCTCTTCAAGTTTCTAGAAGAGGGGGAGAAGAGAGGAGAGGAGGGAGAGAGGAGAGAAGAGAAGGGAGAGAGAAAGTGTGTTTATTTATCTTGAACAAAATGTATTTGTATACCCGTTTCCAAAGAGCACCTGCCACCGCCCCCACCACACCCACAGAGCCATGACGAGTTGCTATCCTTTGTGTTCCTTTATCTATTTAAAATGTATATTTTACCAGGTGTGTTCAAGTTTCTATAGGAGAGAAGAAAGAGATGAATGTGGTTATGAATTGATTTGAATGTTTATTTTAGCGGGCAAGGTTGATGGAGAAGATATTCTCAGAGGGATAGTGACAGTGGGAGAGGGGGGTGGAGGGAGAGATAGAGATAAGTGGCGCAGTGGTCTAAGGCACTGCATCGCAGTGCTAACTGTGCCACTAGAGATCCTGGTTCGAATCCAGGCTCTGTCGCAGCCGGCCGCGACCGGGAGACTCATGGGCGGCGCACAATTGGCCCAGCGTCGTCCAGGGTAGGGGAGGGAATGGCCGGCAGGGATGTAGCTCAGTTGATAGAGCATGGCATTTGCAACGCCAGGGTTGTGGGTTCGATTCCCACGGGGGGCCAGTATAAATAGATATGTATTCACTAACTGTAAGTCGCTCTGGATAAGAGCGTCTGCTAAATGACTAAAATGTAAATATAAATAAGGAAGTAGTCAAAAAACTGGGAAGAGGATGAGAGATAGAGGAGTCAATGAAACCTCCAATCAATTCTCCAAACGCTATAACAATGTCAGCAACAGGCTTTAGTATCCTGTCTCCTGAACTAGGCTAACTCTAACCTTTGGAAGGGAAATCACCCAACAGTCCAACACAGAAGCAACTATCTGTCTTTCCAGACGTGCCGTTGTTTATCTTGTATCAGTGTTTTGTTTACGATGCATTTGTTTACTACTGCTGTTACACAGAGTCACGTCAATACTTGATAAAGACTAGAGCTGACAGCTAGAGCACAGTGAGACAGAGAGAGGGGGGAGAGAGGGGGGGGGGGGAGTGAAAGAGATAGAGAGAGAGGGGGGAGACAGAAAGATAGAGAGGGGGAGAGAGAGTGAGAGAGAGAAAGAGCGAGTGAGAGAAAGAGAGACATGCAACAACAATGCAGCCATTCATTCCATGTTTCTGTGTCATTGTCAGGGCCAATGTCATTGATCTCCATCTCCATACTAATCTCATTCAGGTGGCTGTTAGTAGTGGGGAAGCTGCACGGCCATAGTTTCATACCCAAGCAACATGTTTGTCATTACTAGCAAGGTTTCCTCCAAAGAAATTCCGCCAGTGAGCAAATTTCAGGTCTGCTGAGCGCAAACTTAAACGTTGTGAAAGTTCTGTGCAACTTCCAGCGCGCGTTTATTGTGAACACTGAGGCTGTACCTGCTTTAAGTTACAGTTTTAACAGGGGCCAAGTAGGCTACTGTGGCTATTTGATCATAATGTAGGACTACCATAAAAAACTATGGAGAATATGCATCACATAACATCATATCATTCAGCCTACAGTAGCAGCCAATGTGTGGTGTTCAACGTAGGCCAACATTCCATGAGACTTTTGAACACAAAACATGCAGGGCTTGACATTAACCTGTTTATCCTGAACATTTTGTTGTGTTGTTTGATGCAAGAAACCACTTTACAAAATAAAATGCATTATTATTCCCATACCATTATTACAGAGAATCAGCAAATTATGCTACCCTATTGGCTACTTAGCTTATTCAAGACCGTCTCCAAATAATGTTGCAATGAAAGTGGCTAATAATAATTGCATTGATTCGATCACAATTCCCCAAAAAAGGGAAACGTTGATATTGTTAATTAACGGGGAGAACTCTAGAGAGTTGAGTGAAGTTCAATCTTGTGCTTCTCTGCGCGGGGTGATATTTCTTCTGCGCGGCAGTCCCAGGGGCACACAGGCAGCTTAGAGGGATCATTGGTTACCAGTCAAATGTGTTGTTTGTGTTACAATAGTAAAGCTTCATACAACTTCAAATCAATCAATGGAAAATGTCAAAACATTTGTCATACATGTTTAAAGCATTTGAAGAGCTCTTTTAACAGGTCATAAGTTTGCATGTGTCCGTGCAGTATAGCTACCTTAATATGTGATTTGGCTTTGTTGAGCAGCCCCAGGGTGGTGTGGCGGTTACAGTCTTTTCCCAGAGGGATGAGGGCCTTCAACCTCTCCAAACACAGACGCAGGTGGGCTCTCCTGGAAGAAGACAGGAACACAGAGAGAGAGAGAGAGAAAGCGAGGTTAGATACAGGATATTACAGGATTCAGGAGCCAGATACAGTAGATGGATAACAAGACAACACATTGGTCCAGATGATACAGAGAGAGAGAGAGAGAGAGAGAGAGAGAGAGAGAGAGAGAGAGAGAGAGAGAGAGAGAGAGAGAGAGAGAGAGAGAGAGAGAGAGAGAGAGAGAGAGAGAGAGAGAGAGAGAGAGAGAGAGAGGAGGTGTAATGGTGTTTCCTGCACCCTACTCAGTTTTACTTCCCCCCTCCATCGCTGTAGACTCCTGTAGTGTCTAAGGAACCTATAGTTAGTCAGGTCAACCTGACCACATGACCTGACCATGAAATGGTTGTCTCACCTAGCTATCTTAAGATAAATGCACTAACTGTAAGTCGCTCTGGATAAGAGCGTATGCTAAATGACTAAAATGTAAATGAAATTCTCTGAGCCGTAGTTACACCACAACACACACGATCTCAAATGACACAGAGAGGTGTAATGGCATTTCCAACTTCATTTCTCCCTCCCCCTCTTCCTCATTATAATGATAGCTAGCTAGACTACATTACTGAAGGTCGGACTGTACAGTATTTCTAGGTAATGGGTGAGTTGAGAGGTAGAGAGAGATCATGGAGGGTGTAACACAATAACCTGTCAATTGGGTTGCAGTGAAGGGGTCTTCTAGCTAACCTAGGGCATTAAGCTGCAGTGAAGGGGTCTTCTAGCTAACCTAGGGCATTAAGCTGCAGTGAAGGGGTCTTCTAGCTAACCTAGGGCATTAAGCTGCAGTGAAGGGGTCTTTTAGCTAACCTAGGGCATTAAGCTGCAGTGAAGGGGTCTTCTAGCTAACCTAGGGCATTAAGCTGCAGTGAAGGGGTCTTTTAGCTAACCTAGGGCATTAAGCTGCAGTGAAGGGGTCTTCTAGCTAACCTAGGGCATTAAGCTGCAGTGAAGGGGTCTTTTAGCTAACCTAGGGCATTAAGCTGCAGTGAAGGGAGATTCTTCTAGCTAACCTAGGGCATTAAGCTGCAGTGAAGGGAGATTCTTCTAGCTAACCTAGGGCATTAAGCTGCAGTGAAGGGGTCTTCTAGCTAACCTAGGGCATTAAGCTGCAGTGAAGGGGTCTTCTAGCTAACCTAGGGCATTAAGCTGCAGTGAAGGGGTCTTCTAGCTAACCTAGGGCATTAAGCTGCAGTGAAGGGGTCTTTTAGCTAACCTAGGGCATTAAGCTGCAGTGAAGGGGTCTTCTAGCTAACCTAGGGCATTAAGCTGCAGTGAAGGGGTCTTTTAGCTAACCTAGGGCATTAAGCTGCAGTGAAGGGGTCTTTTAGCTAACCTAGGGCATTAAGCTGCAGTGAAGGGGTCTTCTAGCTAACCTAGGGCATTAAGCTGCAGTGAAGGGGTCTTCTAGCTAACCTAGGGCATTAAGCTGCAGTGAAGGGGTCTTTTAGCTAATCTAGGGCATTAAGCTGCAGTGAAGGGGTCTTCTAGCTAACCTAGGGCATTAAGCTGCAGTGAAGGGGTCTTCTAGCTAATCTAGGGCATTAAGCTGCAGTGAAGGGGTCTTCTAGCTAACCTAGGGCATTAAGCTGCAGTGAAGGGGTCTTTTAGCTAACCTAGGGCATTAAGCTGCAGTGAAGGGGTCTTTTAGCTAACCTAGGGCATTAAGCTGCAGTGAAGGGGTCTTTTAGCTAACCTAGGGCATTAAGCTGCAGTGAAGGGGTCTTTTAGCTAACCTAGGGCATTAAGCTGCAGTGAAGGGGTCTTCTAGCTAACCTAGGGCATTAAGCTGCAGTGAAGGGGTCTTTTAGCTAACCTAGGGCATTAAGCTGCAGTGAAGGGGTCTTCTAGCTAACCTAGGGCATTAAGCTGCAGTGAAGGGGTCTTTTAGCTAACCTAGGGCATTAAGCTGCAGTGAAGGGGTCTTCTAGCTAATCTAGGGCATTAAGCTGCAGTGAAGGGGTCTTCTAGCTAATCTAGGGCATTAAGCTGCAGTGAAGGGGTCTTCTAGCTAACCTAGGGCATTAAGCTGCAGTGAAGGGGTCTTCTAGCTAATCTAGGGCATTAAGCTGCAGTGAAGGGGTCTTCTAGCTAACCTAGGGCATTAAGCTGCAGTGAAGGGGTCTTTTAGCTAACCTAGGGCATTAAGCTGCAGTGAAGGGGTCTTTTAGCTAACCTAGGGCATTAAGCTGCAGTGAAGGGGTCTTCTAGCTAACCTAGGGCATTAAGCTGCAGTGAAGGGGTCTTCTAGCTAACCTAGGGCATTAAGCTGCAGTGAAGGGGTCTTCTAGCTAACCTAGGGCATTAAGCTGCAGTGAAGGGGTCTTTTAGCTAACCTAGGGCATTAAGCTGCAGTGAAGGGGTCTTCTAGCTAACCTAGGGCATTAAGCTGCAGTGAAGGGGTCTTCTAGCTAACCTAGGGCATTAAGCTGCAGTGAAGGGGTCTTTTAGCTAACCTAGGGCATTAAGCTGCAGTGAAGGGGTCTTCTAGCTAACCTAGGGCATTAAGCTGCAGTGAAGGGGTCTTCTAGCTAACCTAGGGCATTAAGCTGCAGTGAAGGGGTCTTTTAGCTAACCTAGGGCATTAAGCTGCAGTGAAGGGGTCTTCTAGCTAACCTAGGGCATTAAGCTGCAGTGAAGGGGTCTTTTAGCTAACCTAGGGCATTAAGCTGCAGTGAAGGGGTCTTTTAGCTAACCTAGGGCATTAAGCTGCAGTGAAGGGGTCTTCTAGCTAACCTAGGGCATTAAGCTGCAGTGAAGGGGTCTTTTAGCTAACCTAGGGCATTAAGCTGCAGTGAAGGGGTCTTCTAGCTAACCTAGGGCATTAAGCTGCAGTGAAGGGGTCTTGTAGCTAACCTAGGGCATTAAGCTGCAGTGAAGGGGTCTTTTAGCTAACCTAGGGCATTAAGCTGCAGTGAAGGGGTCTTCTAGCTAACCTAGGGCATTAAGCTGCAGTGAAGGGGTCTTCTAGCTAACCTAGGGCATTAAGCTGCAGTGAAGGGGTCTTTTAGCTAACCTAGGGCATTAAGCTGCAGTGAAGGGGTCTTCTAGCTAACCTAGGGCATTAAGCTGCAGTGAAGGGGTCTTTTAGCTAACCTAGGGCATTAAGCTGCAGTGAAGGGGTCTTCTAGCTAACCTAGGGCATTAAGCTGCAGTGAAGGGGTCTTCTAGCTAACCTAGGGCATTAAGCTGCAGTAAAGGGGTCTTCTAGCTAACCTAGGGCATTAAGCTGCAGTGAAGGGGTCTTTTAGCTAACCTAGGGCATTAAGCTGCAGTGAAGGGGTCTTTTAGCTAATCTAGGGCATTAAGCTACTCAGACTAGGACACTGAAAGTGTCTCGGCCCTAAGGCTAGATTACAACCTAAAGACTGCAACAATTACTCAGAAACGACTATCCTCTCTATCTGTGTGTGTGTGTGTGTGTGTGTGTGTGTGTGTGAGTTCAACTATGTGAAGAACGTGAACGTTATGCCTCTGGGTTGTGTGGGGGTAGGATGTGTGTTTGGAATGGGAGGGCAGCACTGCTTATAGCACTTAAATAATAAAGGCGCATGCACACATACACACACCCACACACACGTACGCACAAACGTCTCTATATATGATAAATATCTGTCTGTCTCTGTCTCAGTCTGTAATCAGCCCCATTCACAGGGCATGCCAGCCCACATTCAGTCTTTATCAGTCCCCCGGTTATCCTAGAGCAGACCCTGCAGGTCTACACAGAGATGGACTACGATCCAGATGAATCTCTGTTCTCTGATCTATAGCATGTGTGTGGGTGTCCTCTGTATAGCGGTGCCTCGGGCCTTACTCCGAGGTTCCACTAGGAAGCAGCATCGCACGGTGAAACATCGGAAGCCATTCACTTAAAATGGAAGGAAAACGAGCGAACCGAACAGGGCGAGGGGACCGTTGAGCGGTGCGAGCATGGGCGAGGGGACCGAACAGGGCGGGGGGACCGTTGAGCGGTGCGAGCATGGGCGAGGGAACCGAACAGGGCGGGGGGAACGTTGAACGGTGCGAGCATGGGCGAGGGAACCAAACAGGGCGGGGGGAACGTTGAACGGTGCGAGTATGGGCGAGGGAACCGAACAGGGCGGGGGGAACGTTGAACGGTGCGAGCATGGGCGAGGGAACCAAACAGGGCGGGGGGAACGTTGAACGGTGCGAGTATGGGCGAGGGAACCGAACAGGGCGGGGGGAACGTTGAACGGTAAGAGCATGGGCGAGGGAACCGAACAGGGCGGGGGGAACGTTGAACGGTGTGAGCATGGGCGAGGGAACCGAACAGGGCGGGAAGTTGGGAAAGGCTGAACTTTACTCAAATCCTCTAGGATATCGCGATGTGAGTGACCAATCGAAGCTCACCATAGCTTCCAACCTCTACTGGATTGGCTGACAATGGCTGTTGATACGTAGCACTACTTAGCTCGCTTGCTAGCACCCACATGAGGGTCAGGCTAGCGTGGCTGGGAGAGTGCCGCTTGTATAGTGTTAAAAGCCAGTTAGACAGGGTTGGAGACCTCTGGGTTATCACACTATTTGACCTGGAAGATGGCTGTGGCACATCAGTAAGGCTGAGCTGGCTGAACACACACACACACACACACACAATCTCATTGATCAACTCACTGAGAGAAAGAAGGGAGGGAGGGAGAGGTATCCTAGACAAGTCTAGACATGCCTGTCAGGCTACAGTGTGTGAGGTGAATGGAGCTCCTCCAGACAGTAGTTCTACAGGCCTGTACTTCCTCCTCCCCATCCTCCACCGCTCTACACTTCACTTCTCACTGATAAAGACAACCCTGCACCCTACTGCAGTCTCAGCAGCTGACCCTAGATAACCCTCACTTACTGGAGGGAGGGAGGAGGGAGGAGAGAGAGGAGGAGGGAGGCAGGGAGGGGAAGACAGCAGGCACCGTTCACAGACCTATCTGTCTATCTGTCTCAAGTGAAGGTTAATCTTCATGAGTAGGCTAGGCTAGGCTAGGCTAGTTAACCACAATTACTGTAGGCCTATTTAGCCATGGCCTCCTTTTCTTTCACACATAGAAGATGTGTGGATGTAGTTTGAATTCATAGGCCTATTCTGATACGTGTCACAGCAGCTAACCACAGACACCTCCACACCAATATGATGACATCTCAAAGCACATTTCTCAGCCTTGATTTCTACACATGCAAGGTCAATGTAACTAAGGTCAATGTAACTAAGGTCAATGTCCCTCTCCTTCCTCTCTTCTCTCCCCTCCTCCAGAGAGCAATGGAGATGGAAACAGATGGGGGGAGGGAGAGGGACAGAGAGATCGAGAGAGGAGGAAGGAGAAAGAGAGAAAATAGAGATGTAGAGATTGACGGAGAGGTAGAGACTGAGATTCGACAGAGGCAGAGACAAACAGAGAGAAATAGAGAGAGTGAGCGAGAACGAGATAGAGAAGTATGTCCCTATAATTATGTCACTGTCCATACAAAATGTCCACCAATGGTTATATGGTCCTAAGCCTTTAGAGCACA